ACAAACTGCATATACTTAAACTGGTGCATGACGGGCCCAGAAAAATATGGATACATCATATGTGACCAACATGCCAACCATCCAGAGTAGAAGGCTATTTCATCCAATAGAGACGTTTGATGGTGATCTTCATACGCTTGGAAGTGTATATCATCTATTATTGTGCAATGAAGATAGACTTTGAAGAGCTTTGTCGCCTGATTCCCTCTGAGTAGGATGAATGCATAATCCTCAGTTTAGGTATCAACACATGAACATCTGGATATGTGTTGGAAGTGTTGGAGGATCCATACTTGAAAATGGTACATATGAATTATTAGTAATGATTTAGCACATGTGTTATGAAACTGTAAAGGATGCAAATATATTATTGTCAACAACGTGCAACTAGTTTTCATATGTTTTGTCTTCCAGATACAACTTAATCAACTTCATCAAAAAAATTGAAGAAGAAAAGTCAACTCGATAGTTTCATTTGAAAGAACAATCTCGGTAGACAAACAATCATCAAAAGATTCATCGTCTGATAACGAAGAAACTTCTTCAAGAAGAATATTTGCTTCAATAAATGAAGAAGATGAAGAAGCTTCATCCGGTGGAATCTTTGAAAGAAGAAATGAGGAACAAGTTTCAATAAGCAAGATATTTAGAGACTTAACATCAAGAAGAATTCTTGAAAAATCAACTTCTGGAAAGAGTATTTAGAGATCCTTTATATCTAGTATCCAATGAAGAATATGAGCCAATAAATGAAAAATTCAAGAGAGTTATATGAAAACTTGAAAAAATTTCTTCAACAATATCCCAGAAAATACTTCTAATGATTCATACGAGGAATATCATACGCAATCATTAAAGGCGTCCAAATATGGTTAACATGTTTGCTTGAAAGTCTTTGACGAAGAAGATGGTTGTAAGGTAACAACTCTATCGTACAAGTAGTTAATTAAATTAAATGTGAAGTTAATCATGGAACATGATAATATGGAAAAGAGAAAGGTAGATCTTAAAGAATATATTGAGTTTCTAGAGAATAGCAATGAAAACATTAAGGTATGAAATCGCTAATATTAGAAACCAAGCTAATAATTGTGAAACATGTATTTCAATGAAGAAGTAACTGAATGATTTTCATGAAACCCTTAGTAAATTTACTTAGAGGAAATAAAACCTAGATTCAATCCTATCAAATCAAATGCCTTCCTTAAATAAAAATGAAATAGGGTTTAAATAAAATAAATCACATAGTAAAAGCTTCAATAATAAGAAATTGAACCGTCATATCTATAAATTCTCTTTATGTAATAAATTTGGCCATTTAAAGTCATTTTCTATGATAAACTAAGAAGGTCTAAAGAAAGTAACTCTAGACGTCTTAGAGCTAAAAAGATTTTGGTATCAAAGGTGATAACCTGGTCTATTTTACAGGAATACTTTGTAGCTTTGATTAAGCCTTAGTGAAAACTAAATAAAGTTGTGCAAAGCAAGGTGCATATTTTGAGTATACAAGAGAAGGTCTTGCTTGATGAAATTTGAATATCCTGATGCTTGTGATCAAAGTATGCTTGTTTATAATGTGTTTCAACAAACGTGGTCAAGAAGTTCTCGTCGGGGGAGTTTCTTATCAACTATGATGATCTTGATGATTATGTAACCCCTTAGTAGGATGAGGTGATAAGTCTTCTACTAGATGATAGTATCTTGGATTCTCCATAAATCTAATAACCAAGCCAACACATTGGCGAATGTTGGTCATATGATTTGATTGTGCAAAGTTGCATATGCAAGCTCACTAATTGTATTTTCTTCAACTTTGTACCTTTTTCTATCAGAGTGATTGTAGGATTGCAATTAGTTATCTTTATTTCCTTCAATATGTCTTCTGCATAATTCTTCTGGTGCAAGAAAACTCCAAAATTTATGTTTATAACTTCCATTTCTAGGAAATATGCCAAGTTTCCTAGATCTGGCATCTCAAATTTATTCTCCATTCTGACTTTGAACTTTGTCAATTCCATGTCATTTGATCATGTGACCAATAGATAATCCACATAGAGGCATAATATGATTTGATCGTGCTCATTAGAACTTTTCATATACACTCAATGTTCTGATGTGTATTTGTTGAATCCTAGCTTTATTAGAAAGTTATAAATTATGTTGTTTCATATAATGCATTTCTCAGCCCATACAACTTCTCTTCTTTCCCTTTGATCTCAAAACTTGGTGGTTTCTTGACATAGACCTCCTCTATTGGTCAATTAAGAAAAATTTGACTTCACATCTAAGTGATGCATCTTCAACCCTTTGTATGATGTCGTTGCAACTACTATTATTATGGTTTCAATTCTAGAAATGGGTGCATACACCTTAATGAATTAAATCTCATCTCTTTGAAGGAATCCTTTTGCAACTAGTCTTTTCTTATACTTGGCAATCTCATCATTTCGCCTAAGCTTTAGCTTGTAAATCCATTTTACATCTATATTTTTCTTGAAGTTATGGTTCTCAAAAATTTCTCAATCTTTTTCAATTTAATGATCTTTTCACTACACGACTTCTTCTAATCGGTTAACAACACCAAACTTGAGAAAAGTCTGCAACTGTCTCACCATCATTTATCTGCATGTTGTCATATTTCTTTCCCAAAGATTTCAACTTCAGCTTCTTCAATTTCTCATCACCTCCATACAACTTCTTAAGTGTATCCCACACACCCTATGTTGTTTCTTCTTCTATGATATTCTCAAAGATATTTGAATCACCACATTGATGGATCATGAATAGACATTTCCCATCTTTCTTTCTTGTTGTAAAATATTTCACTGATATATCAAAAGTTATATGTACAATGTTGCAACTACATGCTTAAATAAGATAGAATAGAAAACATAATAGGCTTTGACTAATGGACCTTGTTACTAATATCATCATTTACTATTTACAATCTAATATTTACAACACTCCCCCTCAAGCTGGTGAATATATATCTATCATCCCAACTTGCAAGTAAGTTGTTTGAATCTTTCTGTTGGTAAGCCTTTTGTTAACACATCTTCCAGCTGATGCCCAGAAGGAATGTAAGATGTAGTTATCAATCCACTATCTAACTTCTCTTTGATAAAATGTCGGCCAATTTCAATGTGTTTAGTCTTGTCATGTTGAACAGGATTATGAGCAATACTAATAGCTGATTTATTGTCACAAAACAATTTCATAGGGCCTTCACACTATATCTTCAAGTATTTTATAATTTGTTTCATCCATAATAGTTCATAAATTCCTAGTTCCATAGCTCTAAATTTTCCCTCGACGCTTGATCGAGCAACTACACTTTGCTTCTTACTCTTCCAAGCTACAAGGTTACCACACATAAAATTACAATAGCCTGACGTAGATCTTCTGCCACTCACTGAGCCGGCATAATACGCATCATTGTAAGTATTTATGCGGCTAGGGTTTATGAGAACGCGAGACCCCCAAAATCAGGAGCTCGTGATTCTATATTGTAAAATATTTCACTGATATATCAAAAGTTGTATGTACAATGTTGCAACTACATGCTTAAATAAGAGAGAATAGAAAACCTAACGGGCTTTGACTAATGGGCCTCGTTACTAATATTACCAATTACTATTTACAGTCTAATATTTATAACATTTCTCAATTCACGATGAACCACCGTTTGTGCCTCAGTTGCATTGGCTTCGTATGCAGGTAAGCCATCATTCACAATTTCAAGCATATCTTGAAATATGAATATGACTTTCATTTGCGTACACCATCTATCACATTGCTCCTATTTGAACACCGGTAGATTTCCATGGAGTTGATTAGAGGTTATGTTTTCAGTTGTCATTGTGGAAGCTTGGATCGAATAGATGGTTTTGATACCAATTTGTTGGGATAACTTGTCACACAAGATAATTGGCATACAAAAGGATAGATGAAATTAGAGAGTTAGAATGAGATGAGAGTGAAGAGAGAATTTATTCAGTTGATCTAAAACACTTACAAAGATTAGAAAGCCAACTAACTAATTAATTAACTCTTAAAACTGTCAAGTTGTGACAATTTGCTTGTGCAACAGAATCACACTGCCACTTAAACTGAATTACAACACAATATAATATTCTTTGGAAATATTTATTCTTCAATTTTTTTGCAAGAAAGAGAAGACATATGAATGAAATAGAAAGACAATATTTTGCTCTGGATGAAAGAATGTGAATTTTTCCTATCTGTTCGATGCTACTAGAAATACCACCTTGATTTGATTCACATTTTCTCTAAGAAATACCACCTTATACCATCCAATCCAATGTAACAGAAAAAAATCATTCAAATTAAGTATTGAAATTACACAGGTAACTTTGGAGATAATATCTAAACTATAGAACTTTGTCAATGTCTACTTTACACCACTTTGGGACAGCTCAATCAAGACAGAGGGCTAAAGTGGCAAGCGGTTGGTTAAGAGATAATAAGGAGAGGCTTACATCTCAACCTGAATTGGGTTCCTCAATAGACAGATGATGGTATTCACCCTTGTTTGAAGGAGGGGAATATGAAGATAGTTTGAACTTTTCTGGTTTGTATCAGTGTTCATTTTACTTACTAGTACTGTGCTGTAGAAATTGAAAGGCAATCTAGTCGTTTTTACTTTTTGACTGCAGATGACAATTTGTATATTGTCAAGTTTGATTGCAAGATCATATGAAAAACCTGTTATCATGTTCTGATTATGTATATTAACTTGTTACTCGATGTATATAAATCAATAAAGAAGAATTTCAGTCCATTCACTTGACACTTTTCTTCACACTATGTATAAACAAGACAGAAATTGCAAAGCAAAGAAAAGGGAAACCATACCAATTTATCATTAAATGAATTGTAAACATAGTGTCATTCTTATTAATAACTTCAAAATACATATCCTCCATCCATGTTTACAAATAATCAGAATCTCTAAAACTTAAAACAATTATAAACTAATATCAATAAGATCGATGAAGAACAGAAAAATCAAATCTTTTCCTGTTTTCATTCCATTTGAGTCCAATCTCATCTCCTTTCTTTAAGCTTCTTCTGCCTACAAAATCTGTGATCCATGTCTTGTTGAAGACATGACTGTCATTGGAAGGTCGTATCTTGAAAGAAAGAGAAAGGGGAAAGCCAGTGTCAACATCAAACACTTCGACTTCGACTCCGTCATTCTCGGCTTTAGCTTTATCCACCACAGGAACCACCCATTTCTTAGCCAAGTCTTTATTTAACAAAAGCCTGCAATTATCATCAAGATCACTCTTTGTTAGCACCTTCTTGATCGTCCATGGATCACCAACATTGGTTTCAACAGCAAGGGCCTTGCATGTGTTGTTGGTTGTTGAAACATTGGTTTCTTGGTGAACACGTTTTTGTGTGTCAGCGAGACAAGTACAAACACCGAGAGATAGATGGAGACAAGCAACTGTTTTGGGATATAAGCACATATCCAACACAGATGAAGAAGCATTGTTGATCTTTTTGGTTTCTTGGTGTCCACGTTTCCTCTTTTTGGTGAGTTGTGTGAAACATGAACAAGAACCTAGGGCAAGATGGGGACAGACATCAAATGTAACAGAAGAAGAAACATAAGATGTTAATGAAGATGAATGGGAAGAGATAGCCATGAATGAATGAAATGATTCAGCCATGGAACAAAATCAGAAGAAACTGCGCGTAGCAAGAAGAAATTAAGAAAGTTTCGCTCTAAAATAGAAAGAAAGTGTTGTTATGCTGAAAGTGTTAAAGAACTACTTACTTATATAGCTAATTAAGGTTAACGGCTAGTTAATCTTCTCTTATATGTCGGTTATTTTATTTCTACTGCAAGATTTTATTTTTATTTTCTCAATTTTATTAAATCTTAAAGAATCTTACTTTTTTTTTGTTAGTTTTATTTTTATATTTACACCGACTTGCTTCCAAAACTAGGCTTTCTTGCTTTTATTTAATAAATAGATTTTTTTTTTATCATAGATTACAAATAATTAATTAAATAAGAGATGAACCGAATCTTAGGTTCAATTACATTTTAATGATTACATACTTTTGTTAGTTTTTAATTTTTTATTGACACGGATTGGTTTTATTTTCAAGATTAAATTTTTAAATTTTATCAACTTTATATCATAAATTTTCAAAATATAAATTTTACACTTACTCGGTTTTATTTAATTATCTTTTTATACGTATCACATTGATTAGAACATTAGTTCTCAATAAGAAGATACACTTTTTATTTTATCCTAATTGTTTAAATATACTTAGCATTATATATAACTAACTTCCATAATCCATGTGCTAATCTATTTTTACAAATCAATTAATCTTATATATGTAACTAACTTCCGTAATCCAACTTCAACAAAAAATTTTAAAAAAAATAATATATTGTAATAAATCAAAATTTGTAACTAAAAAAATAATAATTAAAAATGAATAAATATCAATAAAATACATCTTCTAATTCTCTATCTTCAACAAATTTTTATAGAAAATATATTTCGTAATGCTTCAAATTTCCATCTACAAAAGAAAAATTTGATAAACGTTAATAAAATTATAGAAGAACTTCAAAATCTATACCTACAAATAAATAATCAAAAAATAACAAACGTCGATAATATTAAAAGAGTGTGACATACTACAACATTGAATAATAAAAATAAATTAAAAAAATAATAATATTTTAACATCTTTCACAATCTAAATTCTTCAACAATTTATTCCTAAAAAATATATTTCGGAATGCTTCAGAATTTGTTACTGAAAAAAATCAATAATTAACAAACATTAATAAAATTAAAAGTACATCAAAATGAAGGCTCTTGTATAAAGATAATTAATATAGAGAAGTGTAAAGAGAAATTAATATGAAAAAAAAATATAACTCAATCTTTCACAATCTAACTTCTTTAACAATATTTTTTCGTAAATATTATATTTCATAATGATTCAAAATTTGTCCTTGAAAAAAATCAAATATGATAAAAAAATAGAGGAAATATTATATTTCATAATGATTCAAAATTTGTCCTTGAAAAAAATCAAATATGAAAAAAAAAAATAGAAGAAATGAAAAGAGAAAAAAAGTAGAAGTTGCTATAAGCATAAAGAGAGTTAATACTTAATATGGAGAAGTGAGAAGAAAAAATTAACTTTAAAAAAATAGAAGTTGCTATAAATAAGAGCTAGGGTTTTATGAGATAATGAGTCAGCGGAGTTAATCCGTTTTTATTTATAATTTAATTAGTAATTGGAGTTAATGGGTTAGTGGGGTTATTGAAGGTGTGGAGAAAACGCAAGAAATAAGGGATTTAAATTGGGTTTTTCTTTCTGAATAAACTTTTGTTTCTTAACATTGTTGTGTTGAGTGATGCTTTAGAATGTGTCGTAGAAGCATAAAAAATTAAGCATAAGTAGAAGTAAGAACACATGATATATTCTGGTTCACTTGAGAAACCCTCAAGCTAGTCCAGTCCACCCTACCAAGGTGATTTCTCCTTGAACTCAAGAACTTAATCCACTATAATCAAATCTGATTACAAATTGCACAAACAACTGATGTGACTAACAACCACTAAGACCACCATCTTAGTCTTCTCAAAGCTTCTGACCTAATCGGTCCTTTAAGGAACATATTACCTTCTAAAGCTTCTGACCTAACTGGTCCTTTAGAAGAAACACAAAAATCCTTCCTAAAACTTCTAACCTAACCGGTCCTTTAGAAAGAACAAACAACTGTTTGTTTTTACATGGTTTGTTTACAAGAGAATATTTCTACACAAGCAAGTGTAAACTCAATTAAGTACAACAGAAGATCTTAATACACACTAATAATATTACATCGCATTTTATTTCAAATGTGTGATCTTCTTTTCTTGAAGTAGCTTCTTCACAGACAATGGTCCAAAGCACTTGAATCGTTGAAGTCTTCTTCATAAGCTTCTAAAAGTTTAATTGATCTTGATGTAGTAAAGAGAAGAACTTCTTCATCTTGATTCACCTTAGAACATTCTGCACAACAACCCTTATTCTATTTACTTTAATGATCATTTTAGAGCACAACATTCATGTTGTGGATTTGTAACTAGAGCTTCCATGATCATCTTCATTATCTTTCGCGGCTTAGCAAGCTTCTTGCAGTATATGAAATTAAGCACATTATGAATCAATGATTTCATTCTTTTCTTGAAATCATCAACAACATGATTGAAGAATCATCTTGACAACAATTGTTCTTGTTGTTGTTATAATGGTTGACAGTTTTGGCTGTGTTCCAATAATGAAAGCTTTCATTTGAACATTGAACACCAACAACATTTTAAGCATATAATCCTTTTCTTATATAGCCAAGTAAAATAGAGTCGTTGGCTATTGTCATACCTCAAATTTTACCTATTGATTTCTAGCCAATATATTGATTTCTAAGGTTATCATTTTGCTTTATTTATATAAAGTTTAGATTATTGTCAAATTCATATGACCTATGGGGTTTAAGTTTATGAAGGGGGAATGGGGTGTATTATTTCAAAATGGACCATTAAAATCTGATGTCCCATTAAATTGGTTCTTACGATTAGAAGGGGAGGTGCATTTGTTTGTTTGTATCTCAGCCCATTAAAGGTTTGTTATTTGTTTTAATTAATAAAGGAGTGTGATTCAATTAAGGGTTTGTGGGTTTTCTAAATCAGAAAGGCCCGTGTAAATTCTTTGGTCCATTAAGGTTTTTGGTTAATTCTTTTTACAATAAGGGAGATGCGGTCTTTCTCTTGACTTCAGCAAGCCCAGGGAGGTGCATTATTTAAAAAAGGAGTGGTATTTTAGGGGGCCATCGGAATTTGATGGCCCATTAAGAGTGGATGCGTTCAAAATAGGGAGGGGGTATCTTATTTTTGGAGACTGATGGCCCCATGTTTTTTTTCTTGCCATAACGATCGGAGGGATGCATTCTTTTGTCAAATGAGCCCATATCACTTCTTGAAAACCCATTTTTTGTTTCTGTATGTTTTTGGAGGAAGGATGGGCCCAATAGCTGAATAGATATTAGGCCCAGTTCATATTTTTTTAATGAACTTTTCTATTATCATTACTTTCATAAACATGTATTTATTTTATAACTATATTATTATTGTTAATTATTATTTAATCAATATTACTTCTATAATTATATTAAACCAAAATTGTTGACCAAAAGTCAAAATTAAGAAAATTAGGGTTGAAATATGTGATACAGTGGGAGAACTGACTTGGGATGTTTTGCGTTTATCATAATTGTTGCGGTTAGCAAGAGTCGCCACCGACTTTTCTTTTATCCAAAAGGAAAGGCTGAAAAGAACAGGAAAGACCTTTGAGATTATTTCTTGAGTTCGGGGGGTAGATTATGAAAAGGGAAGGTGTTAGCACCCTTTTCATCCATAGTGATCTATTGGCTCTTAGTTTCTTGCTAGATCACTTGCTTTGTTTGAAAATATGCTTTGTGGTAGTTTTTGAAAGTATTTTTGAAAAGACGCCTTCATTTAGGCAAACTTTGTAATGGTTCTCGTTTCATAAGAACGTATACAAAGTGTTGGACTTTTGAAAATATTTCATGTTTTGAAAGTGTTTGGTATGTGTTTGTTTTGAAAGTGTTTGGTGTTTGTTTTGAAAGTGAGCAAGCAACTAAGAACGTTTCTACCTACTCGAAAGTCTTTGTTCATTTCTTTCTTCCTTTGATATTGCTATCTCACCATTGATTGGTAAGAAGCCTTATCTTCAAATGTAAAGGGACGGGTGTGGGTCATCGTATAGTCATGATAGCAATGTTGTGAGCTATCTTAACATTTCTCTTGTAGGGACTAAGATAATTTTTAAGGCAACATTTGAAGCGTCATCGAGGGACTATGATCTTGTATTTTTTTATTGTTTTTGCTAAGACATCCCACATGCATAACATAACCATTTTTATAAGGCAACAGGTGGAATTACCCTAAGGGTGCATGTGTGAAAGTGTTTTGTATTTCATGCTTGATTTATCTTGTATTTAGGGTTTTCTAGTCATTGATTTTATCTTTCCATACAAACCCTAATTACTAGCATTTATATGAAAGCGATAAAATGCGGAATGTAAATTTACTAAGCTATTACATCATTTTGGGGATGGGGTATACAAATTTATAAATGTGGATTGCAAGAAAGTAAACCTAATTATCTATTACAACCATATTGAAACTTGAATAATGTACAAGAAATGAAAATATAATGTGCAAGGATATAAATGGAAAAGAAATAGATTTTTGTTTGGTTTTTGAGGAAAAAGGTTTGGTTTTGACCTAATTAAATAAAAGAAATAATAAATTAAATTAAGAAAATTAAACCTAAATTAATTAAGAAATTAAATTAAATTTAATCAAGAAAGCATTTTTAGGGATTTTTTAGAAAAGGTTTTAAGTTTAATTAAAATAGTATGGAAATTAATTAATTAAAAAAACCCTAAATTCTAAGTTAATTTTAATTAAAAAAATAAATAACTAAACCTAAATCTAATTATTAATTTATTAAGAAAAAGAAATTAAGTTTTTTATAAGAAAAATATTGTCTTTTTCTTTTTTAATAAAGAAAAAACCCCTAAAAGATGCTAACTTTGAAT